AGGAATGTCTGCACTGCTTTTCTGAACCTTAAACCAATAGTCCCATGAGCCCAAATTGGCTGACCTGGGCTCTGAGACTCACTGCCATGGATCTTTTCCACAGTGTAGATATATCCAGTACGTTTGTGTATGTTGCTGTTTGGAATATATGGCTTCCCAAGTGGCCATCGCGCTTGTTGTATTTCTGATGAGGTGTGATCTGAATCTCACACTCGTTTTGGCCTCTGGCCTCACTTCTTTTGAGCCAGTTCCTGAGACTTTCGTGTCAACTGATAGACATTCTAGATCAAATTTTCAGTGGATGCCAAACATCAGATGCCAAGAGGCAGAACTTTTGGGGATGGATCTTGCCCCCAGGGCCTGTTTTTCCAAGTTACTAACCACCTGCAGCTCTAATTGACTTTAACTCTGGGTCTACCCGTGCCAGTCTTCAGACAGGGCAGTTCCTGCTTCTAAGTAGATCATATGCTTTTGAGGTATCTGCCAGGCGGTATCAGCTGTGTTAACCAATTACCTAGTTCCAGATCATTCAGTACGATGCACAGATAGCAGATATTTCTTCTCCTCCTGTCTGCCTGTGAGGAGTAATGAGATAATTTTCCAGCGCTGCATGTAGGGATGTTATAAAAGAAACCTGATAATGAGCATGGTGAAAACTGCCCAGGGATGTCTGCAGAGTGCTCTGCTTGGGGCTTATCCTTGAAAAGCCAGCAGAAGCTTCAAGTGATGCCGAATGCTATCTATCAGCCCAAGCTACTTACCTGGCCTTCCTTGACATAGTATCTGAGTTCCTCATAGTCTTTAATATTGGCAATGGGTATCAGAGGCAGGGGAAGGCATTGACTTCCCAAACTGCCTCACCTGGCCCCGCCCGATCTCCTTTAGAGTCCGCCACATCCCCTCCGTCAGCCTGCTGTTCCGGTGCCAGAGGCTGGGGCAGGCAGGCTGGGGGCTGTGTCATGCTGCCTCTCCTCCCAGTGCTGGGGCCTCTGTCTGCTTAGCACTGGGGCTGGCAGCTTAGCTGTGAGGGAGAAGGGGGTTTCATAGCTGGGGATCCAGCTGGCAGGTCTGGCTCAGGGAGACTGGGTGCCATCACCCAGCTCTCCTCTCTGGAGCTCCAGGGCTGGGCAAGACTGGGGCTGTGCTATCTGGGCCTCGGACACTTCCCTGTGGCAAGGAGCAAGGACCAGCATCCACCTGGGAGAGGGGACTGGGAAGGGATCATCAGCAGCCACAGTTGTAGGGTGGGCTCTAGTGAGCGCAGAAGAGGCAGGACCTCAGGCAGAGGGGGTGGGGTTGGGCATTGATTCCCCAAGTCATAGGTTTACTTACCCATGATCTTTAAAGTGTTTATCTTTACAACATCCCTATAAGATCGGGCACTGCTATTGTCCACGTTTTACAACTAGGGAAGTGGAACACAAGAAAACTAAATTCCCAGCCCCAGGGCACAAAGGAAGGTTGTGACAAACAGAGAATTGTGGTTGGTTGTTTCAATTGTGGACCTGTTAGCTGCAGGAGCAATACATAAAATAGGTGTGCCCATTAATTAACAAAATCCATCTAGAAGGACAGGGTGGTGTAATAAGAAACTGACAGGCAGCACACTGAGGCTGTGTCTACACTGGGAAGGATTGGTGACAAAAGTGTTGCCGACTTGCAAAAGCTGCCAAAAGTGAAAACCAGACAAACTGGGTTTTTTCTGCCTCCAATTGTTGACATTGCTAGCTCCCCAGTCCATAGATAGAACAAAGCAATATGGGTGAGCATCCCACAGTGCAGTGCTGTGGGAAGGCAGAGCTGATCCCTGCGCTTTTAGGGATGCTGAGGAATGTCAAAGCAGTACAGCAACCTCTCCAGCCTTCTCCTTGCAGCAGCGGAACAGAACTATTCCAATGATTTGGTTTTTGTTTGTTCCCCAAATGGAACAGCTCACTCAACTATCAGCCACTTTTCAAAGCATTGAAAGAGGAGGGGTGCATGGTTGCAGAGCAGCAGAGATCACATAAACTGAGCACAACTCCCTGGGTAGGCATTGTGGGATACTTCTCTTGACAAAACAAACAACAGAGTCCACACTGGCACTTTGCTCATGATAAAGGGAGGGGAAAAGACAAAAGTCTCTCGCAGGGTGGAAGATTTTTGTCACCAAAACTGGGTGTTTCTTCCGACAAAAGTCTCATTGTAGCATAAACACTCACATTGTTTTGTCATCAAAAGGCAGGTTTTAGCAACAAAACATGACAGTGTAGACAATGTTTGAGATGGCTAGAAGGAAATATGTTTTACAGCAGTCTATTGCCATCCTATGCAAGACTGTTCACCGGTTACTGACAGAGTGAGTTATAAAATAGTTTTAGGATCATAAAGAACATTTGCTGCTGCACTAGGTAGCTCATAAAGATACAAAGGAAGCCATCCTCTGTTCTTCAGCTGACTACCTGTGAGTGGCCAGGGAAGAACCACATGCCCAAAGATGCTGCATGGCATAATCAGTTCCCTTGTTTTCCTTTCACTTGATGCACCAAATATTAGCAGGGGTGTGAGATGAATTCTGAATGCAGAACCTGGAAGTGGGGCTTACATAACTTGCTTTCTGAACGCCGTAGGAAGATCTAGTTATATGTTATCTTATAACATATGGGTCATTTTCTAAGTGTTTTGGTGCTCCTTGCACTCTGGCTTGGAAAAGAAGCTGTGCAGATGCTGCAGCACCAATGTAGGCTTGGGCTACCCACCTGAGCTCAGATCCAAGGGGCAGGATTGGTGGAGCTTGGTGGGCTAGTATGAGCCTCGCTAACAAGTCTGTCTGTACAAACTGGGACACTCGCTCGCTGCTGCAGGTTCTGCATGCCCAGCACCCTCCTTAGGATTTGTGGGGCCTTACGCAGTACTATTACACTGGTGCCTCTATGCCAGACGGCAGCCTGGGGCAGGCGAAGGATGATTTTTTTGAGATGTGATTTTATCGTCTTCAGCAACTCACTAACGAAATATTTTTAAAGCAAATTTTTAACTCAGGCCCTGCAGAGTAACACAGTAAAATCAGAACCTGACAGCACATACCTGGGGATGGCAAATGCCTGTTAAATGGTTTCATTACCACTTGAATGGCTCTTTCACAAGTTCACTGTTCTGCTAATAGGTTTAGCCTTTTTCACTTTTAAGCTCTCCACAGGAAGCAGAGCCACAGAACAGGGATAGGAAGAGGGGAGTGAGTGGACATTAAGATCCAGTGGTGCCCCAAATTTTCAGGGGCCCTAGGCAGCTGCATATTCTGCATGTGGGTAAGGACAGCTCTGAGCATGCTCAAAAGAATTCCCCAAGATTCTACATTGTTCAATGCACATGGCTCTCTGACAGCCTTTGAATGGATTGAAATGTTTTCCTTAGTTAGAAAGGAGGAGGGGTACAGAGTATCAAAGGCAAAGTGTTTGTAGGAGGTTCTTGGGCAGCCTGACAGAGAAGAAACTAAGGCCTGTAACTTTCTAATGGCTTTGCTGGTGTTTCTTTTTGCAGAGCTCTGTCCAAGACCCCCCCTGTCCTTGCTTTGAATCAGACCCAGCACTGCAAGCAGCTAGAGGGTCTGGTGGTGTCTCAGGTGCAGCTGTGCCGCAGCAACCTGGAGCTCATGCAAACCATCATCCAGGCAGCCCGGGAAGTGATAAAGACCTGCCGTAGAACATTCTCCGACATGCGCTGGAACTGCTCCTCCATAGAGCTGGCACCCAACTACTTGCTGGATTTGGAGAGAGGTAACAGTCGGAGCTGTCTGTGCAGGGAACTGCATATCTTTCCTAGCCTGCATACGTGCCTTTCCCACATTCATTGCTGGAATAACACCCGCACAAAAGGCCCAACCAAACCGTATGCTGTTCTCCCCCATGTCCCTCCCATACTCCTTGTGACATGCATTCCCAACCCAGCCTGCCCACCTAACTCCTCATGTGCTGCTTGGGTTGCCCACTCATAAAACTGAAGCTCCAAGGTACTCCTGTGTAGTACCAAGTTTGAGTGGCACTGCAGAAAAGATTCCAGCCATGGTTCTCTGTTCTGTGTGTTTGATGTATATGTTTTCCAAGGCAGGCGCTGTGTAGTCCTCTCTACAGAAGGCACCCAGTACCAGGCCCGCCAATGGGAGCCTGGGGGGAAAAAAGTGGGCAGCTGCCCCAGGGTTAGAGCTCCCAATAAGCTGTGTGCTTGTGCAGCCAATCAGGAGAAATTCCAATTAGCAGAGCACCCACAGCTAGGTTTTTTGTTTGTAGTGGTGGTACACATTTACACGCATCTCGGTGCACATAAAATTATTCCACATTAGATGAAAAAATTCACACATGGATGGAAAAGATTAGAGGGAACATTGCCTGGAGCCTGGCACTTCCAAAGGACCTGTGCTCAAGCCCTGGGCCCTTTAAATCACCGCTGGAGTCCTAGGTGGTGTGTTCCAGCTGACACTGAAGGGCTGGTGGGGACGAGGCTAGTCCCAGCCCCGCCCTTGCTACCTGAGGTGCCACCCCTTCTGGGAGCATGACATCATCTTCCCAACTTGCCATGGGGCCCAACAATTCTCTCGGCCCTCCCTCTTGGCATTGGTGGCTGAGTTGCACTTCTTCTGTCTTGCAGGTACAAGGGAGTCAGCATTTGTGTATGCCCTGTCTGCAGCAGCAATCAGCCATACCATCGCCAGGGCCTGCACTACCGGGGACCTCCCTGGCTGCTCCTGCGGTCCCATCCCAGGTGAGACACCTGGACCTGGGTATCGATGGGGAGGATGTGCTGACAACCTCAACTATGGTCTTGTCATGGGGTCCAAATTTTCAGATGCTCCCATGAAGATGAAAAAATCAGGATCACAAGCCAATAAGCTGATGCATCTGCACAACAGTGAAGTAGGGAGACAGGTAACAAACCAAAGAGAGTTACTGTAATTGTACAATCCTCTGTAGTGGTTAATGGCTTTGTGAAGTTCAGTGTGACTACCCGCTAGCTATGGAAACAGGCCTTTTGCCAGAGCGTGCTCAACTCCTTAGGCCTGCGTAAGCATGGAAGATATAATTCAGTCTCTAGAAATGTAATTCCTCAAAGCGCTAATGGGCACGAGCAGCAGAGAGAAAGGTGTGGTTGCATATCCTTGGCTGGTCTATCTGTATAAGGCCCCTGTTACCATAGTAGCAGAGCACTTCACAATCTTTATCCTCACAACACCCCCGGAGATAGGGCAATGCTGTTATTCCCATTGTATAACTGGGGAACTGAGGCACTTGTCCAAGCTCACACAGGAAGTCTGAGCCTTAATGATGGACCCATCCTTCCTCTTCCACTGGAGTATCCTTCCTCTCCCTTTGTGAGCCTGGTGTATCACCTAACCTTTCTGCCTCCGTTTTCATTTGGATGACAGCTAGGTTGGGGACCATGAGCACGGGACTGGAGTCAGGAGGTCCTGAGAGCTAATCCTGGTTCTGCCACTGACTCACTGTATGACCTTGGCCAGGCCACTTCACTTCTCTACCTCAGTTTCATCATCCATAATGTGAGGACGCCGTTTCCCCAGTAAGGGTTTTGTGAACTAATTGGTTAATGTTTGTCGGGCCCACCAAAGCGGGGTGGGAAGGGAAGAGACACAAAGGGGGCAGCTTCTCCGAAGCTCGGCAATTCAAAAAGGGCCTTGAGCTCTACAGCAACAGTGGTGGTGGCCAGAACCCCAAGCCCTTTAAATCCCTGCTGGAGCCCCAGCCCCGCCCCTTCCTCCTGAAGCCCCGCCCCTTTTGGCAGTGCAGAACCGTCTCCCCCCCCCACCCTTGCCCAGGGTCCTGGCTATTCCGTTAGCTCCCCTCATGTCTGTGAAGTACTTTGCCCACAGAAAGTGATCTGTAAGTGGTAGGCCGTACTATCTCTACATGGAGTAGAGCAATGCCTGCTGTTCAGTATGGCGGATGGGTTTGAATCGCTGTGTCAGTGATGAGTTCAATATCTAAGGGGGGGTTACACTTACGCTGCAGCACTCTGAACAGCGCCCACAGGAGGGGTTCTCTCATCCACATAGGTACTCCACTTCCCTGAGAGGCCGTAGCTTTCTCCCACTGACCTAGCCCTGCCTATTCTGGGGCTTAGGTTCACTCACCTGCCTCGTATTTTTCACACCCGTGAGCAATGTAATTAAAACCACCCAATCTCCTAGTGTAGATCAGGCCTGAAAGAGCCTAGGGATTTGTTTTCACCATTAAAATTAACAAATCACGTTCATGCAGACAGTAACAACTGACTCCCCTCCGCAGCCCTCTGCAAATGGAGAAATGGCGTCAGAGTAATTAGAGGGCAGTGGATTCCTCTGCTCAAGAGGAGGCCAGATGCCAGGCTGCTCAGAGGATGCACACTCGCTTTTCAAACAGTGCGGGGAGCACCTCCGGGGCCACTCAGGGTTTATCTACGCTGTATTGTAAACTTGCGCCCACGGGGCCTGCGCCTGTGGACTCGCTGTCCCCAAGCCTGTGCTTGAGCGCCCACATTGCACTGTGATCCTGGCCTTACAGTTGCTGGCCCCTGGTTTCCCAGACATACTAATGCACTATGCAGACCTTCTGCTGAAAGTACTTAGCTCCATCTCCATCCACAGTGCAAAGTGACAGGACTTGGACCAGGGTCACAGTGGGACTCGTGCTTAAATCCACCTCAGGCTTAGAGGGTCCTGAGTGTTAGCTGACCCAGGACTGATTTGTGTGTGGATGGGAAAGGCTTTGGGCTCAAACCTGAGTCAGAACCGCAGCTGACTATGCAGTGTAGATATGTCCACTGTGACTGAAGGAGAAAAGCCTTCTCTCCCTCCTCTGTATGTTTCCCAAACACCTGGCCCATCTACTAATACTGGTGCCAGTCATAAAATTTGCTCCTGAAAAACTTATCCCTGGCCGTGCAGGGAGTAGTTCCTCTATCCTCCCACTGCACCACACTGTACCACATCTCTTTTTTTGTTAGCTCTTTAATGTCTCATATTGAAAGTTTAATCCCTTATGGCAAATTCTTGTCTGGTGTCAAGAGACACAGCTCTGTTGATTTCTAACCCCAGATCATCTTTCCTATTTCATTCTGGGAATTATGCAACCTGCAACAGCAAAGGAAACAATGTCATGTGTTATACAGCAGTGCCGCACTGCGGCTAATTGAGAGATATGGTCATTGCACAGGGAGTTGGGTAAATCTAAGTTTTGAGACCTACAGTCTCAACTGTATAAATATGCTGATGGCACAACAAAAATAATAGCCAGGCTGGAAGCAATCTTCCAGCCATGAGATCTGTTTCACTTTGCACCATAGGTACCTTTAACCTGGTTGGCCAGAAACTAGAGTAGTGAATACATCCTGTTACAATCCAGTTAAGACAGTTTAGCAATCCTGGGGGAGATTTAAATAAAGAGAAGGTCACTTCATAACTCGGTGTTGTGTCTTGTTCTCTCCATAGGCCCTGAAAGCCTCTCTTGAAATGAAATGTAAATGTCATGGAGTTTCTGGTTCCTGTTCTATCAAGACCTGCTGGAAGGGTCTTCAAGAGATGAGAGACATTGCCCAGGACCTCAAAAACAAGTACTTGTCGGCCACGAAGGTGGTCCACCGACCCATGGGAACACGCAAGCAACTAGTACCAAAGGATATTGACATCAGGCCAGTTAAAGAGACAGAGCTGATTTACCTGCAGAGCTCGCCGGACTTCTGCATGAAGAATGAAAAAGTGGGGTCACATGGGACGCAAGACAGGTAAGGACTCACAAATCAGATGTGACTTGTGCGCTTCTATTTTTAGCTGGTGCATAGCAGCAGAGATGTGAGCGTGAGCATATCTGCTCAGGTGGCGTTTACTACTGGGGAAGATCAAAGTGCTACTCATTGGGCTAATGTCACCCCAGGAAATTGACAACATGGCCCACAACTGCCCTCGTCTTTAATACACAAGAATAGCCACTTGAGCTCAGCATGCAGTGCTCCAGCGGGACGACAGATGAGCACAACTGATCAAGTTTCGATCTGGCTCCAAACTACCTCCCAAGTTCATGGCTGGTCAGATCCAAGGTTTTGAGTCTGACCCATCTCAAACAGTGGTCCCTCTCAAGGGCTGTTTGGGATAAAACAGAGTCCTGTCTGCTGGGACCTGTAATCTCTGCCGGATGCACCTCTTTACTGAAGTTTAAGGCAGCTGCAATAGATTTATGTACAGGGCTCTTGGAATGTAGGAACCACCCCCACGTTATTTGACTGATTTATTTGAAATGTGATAGGATGGTAATTGAATGAACTTGTCTCTTGGGAAATGTATGACGATCAAGCCTTGACTTAATGCTTCACTAAGCCCCTCTTATCTGTTCTATGCAGTTCTAGCTCATGTGGTTGCTGCGGCGGTGTAAGTACTCCTCGCTTTGGGCAGGTATGACTCGGTTTAATGCCAACACTCCCAGGCAACATTAACAGCAGGAGATGTTGAGCAGCATTGTCAAGTCTCTTAGCTTTTTGTTTTGAAAAATCTCAGCACGATCGGGGTCAAGCTGCTATTTGTGCTTTCGTGGAGGCATTGCTGCTTCCCTTTGCTCCTAATGACTGAGCACTGTCAGTGCTGAGCGAATTTCCAACAGCTACAGTAGAGTGCCTGGCGTTTCCTACAGCCTGTTTGATTTGTGGCACATGAAACACATTCTGTGCTATTGAAGTCTGAGCATTGGTCAGGGAGAGGCAACTCCTTGGCCAGATACCATGGACCTTGTGTATGTACCCCAGAGTGCTGAGGGAAATGTTACTGGGGGCCAGTATCAGAAGGGATTCAGAGTATGATAGAGGAAAATCCCATGGAGATGACATTGGATGAGGATGCAAAGGGCCACGTTGGTAAGGCAGGACAGGGGTGATGACTTTTAAAGGGAGCCCAGGAAAGCAATACCCTTGACTCACAGCCAGGGAAAGGAGGACAGAGATGTGATGGAGTGACGACTTGTAGGTGTTGCATGAGCTAAGTAATGTCAGCTGACTGACATTTTGTATATATACAAAATAATGTTCACAGTTGTTGGTAGCTGCTTCTCCAGAAGAAACCTTGTGCCTCAGTACTAGGATATTTAAAGTACCATGTAATAGACACTTTGGCATAGCAGCACGGATTCTATGTTAAATTAGCAAAGGAAATAAGTGTAAAACCCACACAGTGTGTTTCCAGATCATTGCTGTGTCCCTTGGGGGTTGCAATAGCTAATCCAGACCACTTCCCCAACATATTTTTTCCCTAGCTTGCCTTTCAAAGAGAACACTTCTAATATCTTCTAAATATTCCAGCCTGGCATGTCACTGAGTGGCAGCACCCAGGGCTGGCTCGAGCCATTCCTGCACCCTGGGCAGCGGGCGCGCGATGCATGTGTGGCTCCGCCCCCAGGCGCACGGCACATGCGTGGGCCCCCCCCCCGCGCACTGTGCACCTTACAGCTGCAATTGGACGTGCGGCGCCTGATTACAGCTCTAAGGGGCGCCCTCAGCCCCGGGCGTGCGATGCCTGATGTCAGCTCTAAGGGGCACCACGTGGCCAGGCAGGCAGCCCCCCTTACAGCTGCCATCAGGCACCCCCCCCATAGGTTAGCGCCCCAGGCAGCTGCCCAGCTAGCCCCTCCCTTAATCCGGCCCTGGCAGCACCTAGTGACAGAGATGAGAAAGAAGCAAAAACCAGTTTCTGTTAAATACAGGAAATACACATATAGTTTGTATTTACTACACAAAGATGTATAATATTCATATGGAAATCCCAAACGGGATTTATTTGATATGGAGGATTCCAAAGGCATCTTGATATTTTATCCCTTCTACACGTCAATGTTCAGGAGATCGCGCTGTTTCCTTCAAGGCTGATTTTTTTGAAGGAACTTAACAGTGAGTGAAATTATAAGGAATTTCAATGATGTCTCCCCGCCTGTTTCCCTTCTCCAAACCTGCCCTCTCTCATTTAGTTTCTGGCCTTTTTCTGGCCACTAGAAACACAAAAATGCAGCTGCCAGCAGCGCTTCATGGATCAACAGCCTGGAGGTGTTATAATCACACTGCAGCCAGGGCATCCTCTCTTCTACTTCACACCCCTCCATCACACACAGTCCATTCCCGATGACCGAGCATATCACGCCCCCTTTCCAGCTACAAGCTGAGAGAGCTCCTGCCCAAACATTTTGGCAGACAGTTTTTCAGATCTGCTGGCTACGTTTAAAAGTGCATGGAGGAGACAGGCACGCTGCAGCTCCCTTGACATGTAAGGCCTGCATTCTGTGTTCCTTCTTGTTATTTTAGATTGCATTACATGAGCTCATTCCCAAACTCTTAAGCTAAGAAAAATTTACTAATTGTCTGTTAACATAAGAAGTCTAGTGAAATTAACAAGGCAAAGTAGAAAGAAAAAAAAGGGAGCGAGGGACACAGGAATAGAACCATCTCCTGATGTACAGTGCTTTGAAACAATCTAAATTCCATGAGCGCGGAATTCATAAAGAATCTTTTTTTTTTAATGGATCATTAGTTTTCAGTATAAAAAAAGGGGGAGGGACTTTTCTGGCTCCCATGGAAAAAGAGGGCATCTCAAGCAACTTGTGTATTTGAACAAGTTCTGAGCATGTAATAATTGAGGTTTATAGCCAACTTCTATTGCCCTGAATATTGGGATTCATTATATACTGTGAGGCATAATACCACACAGATGGATGGAGTGAATAATCCAATAGATCTTTTCCATCTCTAGCTTCTGTAATTGTCTACTCATCCCTCCCGTTCCTACATGAATCGTGGATTTTTTTTTTTAAATATTTTATTTTTTTGGTAGCAGAGCTGTATGAAATGTTTCACTCAGAACTGAGCCCAGGATTAATCAAAAAAACTTTCAAGGAAATCTTAGGCATCATTTTGAATGAACCAGGGAGCATTTTTAAACCAAGCTGAGCTATTTTACAATTTGTCAAAACTAGAAATAATGTTGGAACAAAACCCTAAAATTGAAATGCTCCCCAGCCTTTTGAGAGTATTCAGAATTCAAACCTCATTCCAAACCTGAGATTGGAACACTCCCAAATCTTGAATGTGAACAAAATGTGGAGCAGGGTCTGGATTTTGCAGCTTGAGTCCATTTCTGTTAACATCTGTCTTGCAATGAATCAGTGTTTTTTATCAACTTAAGAGCACATAAATCTATGTATCACTGCCACATTTTTGATATAAACGAAAAATGGTCTTGAGAGAAATAAATAGCTAAAGACTTTGATAAATGAAGCAGATTCTTGAATTTATGACCATCAATAACTAAAACAAATTGAGCCACAAAGAAAGGCTGTTTAAAGTTTCGGGGAGTTCTTGTGAGAAAACACTTTGTAATGTATCTTCAGTGAGGTACTTCAGAAAATTAATTATTAGTTTAAAATAAAAGGTAAATCATACCAGATTATGAAACTGGATCCAGTCTATGAGGAAAGAGGCAAAAGAATTCACTTTTATTATTATTAGACTCTAATGTATCCTCTTTCAAAGATTGTTTTAGGTCCCATCAGAAAGTGAACAAAAGGGAAATGTTGCCATGCACACAGAATGCTTCTACTGCTAGTATCTCACAAAGGTTAGCGAGCTGTTTATTACTGGTCTATCCCTGAGTGGTCTTGGAACCCAACAGATGCCCCCTCCTCATGGCTGAGGGAGGCTCTGAGCTTCAGAAAATCATTCTGCCATTTTCTGGAGACTAACCAGTAGGGCTGGTTGAATGCTGTAAAACAGGGCCCAAGAGAGTTCTTTTGAATTCTGAATGAGTAGTTGTTGGTTCAGACACATTTGTGTCTCTTGCCATCCCACTCTTCAGGAACATTATTAGTGCAAAGAAGGTTTTCTTGCATGTGTGTTTGGGAAATGGCTGTTTGTAGCACAAGCATCAGTATTTGCATGTGGAAAAGGGGATTTGTGTGTGAACAACAGCACTTGCTAATTGTTATTAAATATTATCCTGCTTAAGCAGTTTCAGCCATGCAACCAGGAAGCAGACATGATGCAATGAGGCCCAATCACAGATAAGCAATAATCACACTATATTATTTGTGTGTCTAGCATTCTTATAACTCACTTTACTTATTTATCAACGTTTTAGAAGCACAATATTATGCCTCTCTCTCACTCTATCTAAACTTTTCATACAACATGACCCAATGGATAATGAATAACACATATTTACTCTGCAAACTTTCCAAAAGCTGGAATGTGATTGTATAAGCCAGGGTAGAATTTAAAAAAAATAAAAGTAGCGATACTCTCCCAAGCTCTGCCATACACCAAGCACTGTCTATTTGAGCCATTACTTACAACAGATGGTGAAGATGTTCATATTATGAGCACACATGCCTTCTGGGTTCATTGTGCTTGGTTCTGCTGGGGTGATAGAGTTGGATACACCTCACTTAGTAGGACTTGGCTGCTCTCTGGGCTCTGTTGTGAATTATTCAGCAAATGCTTTGCAAATAATGAATATATGGTGCCAAAAGAGTAAGTTCACACACCGGGAAAATACACCGAGTATTGTGTTCATGATGAGTAGTCAGCCCAGTTCTGCTAACTACATTTGGTATCTCTCTGCACCTCACCAGCAGCATGATGACAGGCTCTGTTCATTTATGCACTGTTATCTGTGTTCATGATGTCTTAGAAAAACATAAGGAGACAGATCTCTGTGTCAGACTCCCAGCCTGCAGTGGAGCCAGCCTCTGGCACTC